GCTATACACTATGCTGGGTTTATTCCACAAGAGAAATAAAATATAAGAATGAGAAACGAATATAAAAAATAATTTAAAATTATGGATAGCAAAAATAAATAAATATGATATTAGCAGTAATAAGTTAAACGATGCATGAATAGTTAATAATTTCAGTTAATGTGAATGGAGTTCATAATAATTTAGCAAAAAAATGAAGTTGAAATCACACTCTCTTATTATAACTAGCTAGTGATTGAGATGAAGTCCAAACAATTGATACAAAATGACACTCGTACTTGAGCTATCTCTTTTTATCTTTCAATAATTACCAACTATCTAAACTTTAGCATTTAAAGCTTTGACTTCTGAAATTTGACTTATAAAGCTTTGCATCTAACCATTTGTCTTCTTAACAAGTTTACAAGTAACTTATCTCAACAACAGCTACTCGACTGTATGTATAGATTATTTAATGTTAAATAAGATATAAATACCGGTATATACAATATGTAAATAATTTAATAACTAGAAGGTAGTAAGCATTTGTTCTTTGCGTCCTAATTTCTGAGCATTGTTTGTTTACTATAAGAGTCTAAGTACGAAGAAAAGCATATTAATCTTTTGCTATTGATGGTGGTCTTGTTAAAGATCCATATTATAAAAAATAATAATTGAGAGTAATATGTTTGAGCAGTCTTTTTGAATACTTTATTAATAGACAATCAGTTAGCTCTATGAAAAAAGATTGGTGGGTTACATCTTCAGGTTTTTTTTTTTACTTAAAGTGATAATTATGATCATTCGGTAAATATATCGAGAAAAATATTTGATAACAGTCCAGAATTCTAAAATTTCTCTCAGTTTAAATTTTCAAAGTTAAGTTGAAATTTTATTCATATTTGTTTGTTCTGAATTTCTATGTTTGAGATCATTCTTAAATGCCTCCCTCGATAAGTTTACAGAATGATTTGATTGGTCAAAAAAATTGATCATAATTATCACTTAGCTGTTAGGTCAAAAAAACCTGGAGATGCGGCCACCAATTTTTTCGTAGTGCTGCTTTGAACAGCTAAAATTTATATGCGCATTTAAACAATGAATTTTTAACAAGTTATTCTTCAATTATTTGCATTAACTATTCAAATTGATCATAATAATTTAATCAACATCTCGATCACTAGCTAATCACATCGAAAGACTGCCTGAGAACACTTTAAATCAAATATCCAATATCACGCTTCATTAATAATTGAATTATCATTATACTTACATATTAGTTATTTCAAAAGATGAAAAAAAATAAAAAAACATCGATTAAGATATTTTTATCACCTTTAAATTATTTCAAGCTGCACTATACAAGGCACACATCATGATATTTTAAAAATATTGGGTCAGAAAATTGACTACTCTGTCACCAAACGCTAGCCAGCTCCGGGAGGGACTAATTCTCTCCTCCAAACTAATTATCCTTGCAGGGAGCCAAGAAAACATTATTAGAAGGTAATCGAATCTTATCCTTGGCTCCTTGGAAGTGGCCAATCAATTTAACCGAAAGCTAAAAAGGTTTAACCTCTGCAAATCATCTACGCAGGTCTCAAAACTTTTGCGTTTTTGTATAAAGGAAGACAATAATGCCACAACCTTGGAAGAATTATCAGATTACCTATTCCAAAAAATAGGTCAAAGATTTAGCATTCCTACTATCTTTCGAGTAAAAGAATTGCCTTAAAAAAAGCTGACAAACAATTCTCTGAGCAATACATTGAAATAACTTACATGTGCATTCACTTGAAATAATATGCGACATAATTCATACTTAAATAGTAAGATTGTTTTGAGACCATACACAATGCTTATTAAAAATAATGTTACATATTATATAATAATAATAAATGTGTAGTTAACCAGTTTATTATGAAAGAGTATCTGGGTATCTTTAATAATTATCAGATGTAACTAGTTATAATTAATCGATTAGAACCGGGTATAATCAACCGATTAATTGATTAAAACCGGGTATAATCAACCGGTTAATCGATTAGAACCGGGTATAATCAACCGATTAATCAATTAGAACCGGGTATAATCAGCCGGTTAATCGATTAGAACTGGGTATAATCAACCGGTTAATCGATTAAAACCGGTTATAATAAAGCCGATTCATCAGATTAAAAATTCTTAACCCAGTTATGTTATAAATCCAATTACGATAACTGGTTCCAATCTCTAGTGTATGCAATTAGAAAGGTTTTATATTTATTATAGTATATTTGTAAAATTTTAACTAATTTTTGGATTTAAATTTAAATTTTGTAAACAAAATTTATTATTAATTTTTCAATCTATAATAATAATGTGTCTAAGCTATTTTTTTCATAGGCTAATACATCTTTGCACTCTTTGACACATTTCATTAGACATAAAGTTATCATAATGAAGCATCTTAACCTGTGAAGTATTGATTATTTTAGACAAAATCAGCATATACATATTAGTGGATTATTTAGATATATTGAAATAAATAAATATGATAGATTATTCGGATTGGGCTCTAGTCTGATTGTAGTAATAGGATTATAATAGATAAATAAGTGAGGTTGGTGGGGTGACTAGCAAAAGTATAGTTATATGATAGAATGCTATAGACGATTGTGTATTATAATGTGCTACTTTTGGCAAGCACTTTGGTGAACTCTAAGTAAATAGAAAAAAATGTTACGAATTCAAATTATTTGGCAATTTACTTGTTTTATTTAACATAGTTGACAACTACTACATTTATTAGATAGGGATACCACATATCTCTGGGTATAAATTATGATTTAGCTCTTTTAAACTGGTAGAGAGTAGATAGCATGGGGTACACATGTCCAATAAATAAGATAATTGTATTTATTTTTATTGGAAAGTGCTCTGGATTGTTAACTTATATTAAGATTAGAGTAGGTTTTAGATAGTATATATGCAAAATCAGATTTTTAATTAACTTATATAAGAATGGGTAAGCTTGTATATTTCAAAGTTTTGGATTTTTTTTTCTTAGTTTTGCAGCAATTATTATAAGTTTATAAATTGAATGGCCATATAGCACGTGATTCTGTCATTTTAAATATAGAGATTGTATCTGTCATTGAATCTAGATGCCGCACAAAAAATGTGTGGCAGATCCTCAATTTTAATTGGCTAAAATAAATTAAGCCAGAATTACTCATAAGTTTACTAATAAAATCACAGCTACCTATTAAGTGAAAATTGTTTCTGAGTTAATTTTATCATAATACATGCTTATTTTTATTTTTGTAATCAAAAAATTAAAAAGTTAATTCTAGCCAAAATTTAGCAAACAATTTTGTAATATGAACCAAAATTTTAAGATCTTTAGCTATTAGCCAATCAAAATTGAGGATCTGCTACACATTTTTTGTGCAGCATCTAGGGTAAGTTGTACCTGTCAAGAAAATCTCTACCTAGGTATTATTAAATTACCCGGTTATCTGGGTAATTTATTATAGCCATATAATAAAAATATCTACCCAGGTACAATCTCTATTTAGATGATATTATAGATATATAAGTCTTAATGCTAATTGATAGTATTATTGTTAGAATTGGGCTACTGAGAAATTAATGAAATTGCGGAATTCAGAAAGCATATTGTGTAATATTTTATAGTAAGTTGAATTTATTATATAATTTCGGTATAATTAAATGAGTAGTAAAAAAAAAAATAATATGAGTTTATTTAAATAAGTTAAAAGTTTGGATATAGTTTCAAAAATTGGTTGGTCATATTTTGTTTTTTTTTAGATTATGTAGTTGAAAATACTTCATAGTATACAATATTATTTGTTTGATTTATTTCAGTTTCAAAGTTGTTAGAAAGGAGAACTTTGATCGAATGGTAAGAAGTAACTCTTGAGTACAATTGACTATGGGAAAAAACAGACTCTGGTAAATAGAGGCTAACTTGATTCAAAGTTTGGCTCTGTAATTTGTTGATAGTCATGGAAAAAGCAGGATAAACAGGAAATTATCGACATATTAAAATGAAAGATAATTCAGTATCAGAAGATGAAATTGTTATTCTAGGTATAAAAACGTGGCTACCAATATGTGAACCTGTACAAATTTCAGCATCAATGACTTTGTTAAAAAGATTACGACAAATTAAACAAGTTCTGTTGCATAAGCCTTTTGCAGGGCTTAAGTTGTGTAAGAGCATTATGGGTATTCCAACTTTTAATTTTAATTCACCCGGTGAAAAGCCAGAAATCTTTACAGATCTTAAAACTTTGGGAAGTATAAATAGGATTGATCCACCTCAGTATCTTTTTGTGAATCAGCTATATTTGCACTTAGGTATGTATGAATATCACCTGGAAATTAATCTATTATGAGATCGGAAATTGTAGTTGCATTGTCATTTTTTGGAGTTAATATAGCTCTTTCAATTAGATAATTCATATCAGTAGAATTTTGGGTAAAATTCGGATAGGTAAAATTAATAAGATCTAATAGTCTTTCACTACTTATGACTATATCTAAAGGAAGTTCTATTTTATTTTTGGTACTTGCGATGACTGGATACTTTTCATCTCCTATTTGTTGAAGGAAATCTGCAAATTCTTTTTGTTTAAGGTTTTCATTTATATTATTAGTTTGTCAAAGTCTTATATTAATTGTCAATTTCATTACTTTTAGATGTGTCCATAAAGAAGATCAGGGTAAGCTAGCAAAGACAACTTCTGCACGAGATCCACAGGGTATGTCGGGTAATACTTGATGAAAATCGCCACCAAAGACTAAGATTTTGCCTCCAAATGGGTTTTTTACTCGAAGAATATCTTGAAATGTACGATCAAGTACTTCAATGGCAAATTTATTGATTATTAGTACTTCATCTCAGATGAAAAGTTTTGTTAAACTGAATAAACGGGCTTTTTTGCTACTTTTTGAAATGTTGCATATTGAGGATTCATTAAGTTTAAATGGAATTTTAAAGTAACTATAAGCTATTCAGCTACCTTTTATTAAAAGAGCTACAATTTCTGATAATGCAACTGCTAAAACAATGTTTCCTTGTGATCTAACACTAGATAATAAAATGTTGTACAAAAATGTTTTGCCAGTTCCACTCGGTCTGTTAATGAAAAAGCATTCACCTTTGTCTTCACATTCAATTGCTCGTATAACAGCATTAAATATTGTGTATTGATTCTCATTTAATAAAGGTAAATTTTGGCATAATTCATCTTCTAGTTCTGTAATATTATATAATCTTTCTTTATGTATTAACTGATTTAAAGTATCTTCAATATTCGATGTATTTTCTGGAGGAATTGGCATGTTTGGAAAATCTTTTAATGATTTTTTATTTAATAAAAGTAGATTATTTAATAGAGTAAGCACTTCTTATTCAATTGCAGTAGTAATGCTACATTCATGATTATGTAATGCCTGATTATTTCGATATATAAAATCTTTACATAAAGCTAATTTATGATTAGTCCACAATAATTCAGGTTTAATAGATTGACAAAAAAGAAGTATTGTTGCAAAGAGGTGTTATATATCAGTGAAATATATTAACGTAAACTTACGCAAGTTATTACACCCCGAAATATTGCGCAATAATTACGGTCTGGATATAATATTGCGCAGAAAATTGTGCAATATTGCGCAATATATAATGTAATATTACGAAATATATTATGAAAAATAGCGTAAAAATATACTATAAATTGCGAAATATTTCGAAATATTTCGAAACAAATCGAAATAGATACAAATATATCAAAACAGCAAAATATTTATAAAAAAAATAGCAATATTTCGAATTTACAAATAATAATCGATCTAAATCGGGGGTATTTCGAAAACTTTCAAAATAAATTAAATACAAATTCGAATAATAGGAAATATATTTAAACGCAATAATTATACAATTTATTAGATTTTTTCGAATTATTTCAAAAAAATGCCAAGTTTATTGCATTTATTTAAATAAACTGAATATAAATTTTATAACTTTAAATATATTTTATTAATA